GCACTCCCATCTTAACTCTGCTGTTATCACTGTTATGGCGTCGATCAGAACGTTCATTGTTGACATCTGGCACCCCATATTAGCTTTCACTGTTACCTATATTTCATACAGAATCATGATCACAGCTATAGCTTCGAAAAACCGAATACATGTTAATCAACAATTGGCCTTAATCAACCAGCACACTCAATTCTATAAATTATCCCAGTGCGACCCTACCTAGGAGTTGGAACCCCTAAAAAAGCAGCATTAGTAGTAACAGTAACGCTAAGCTAAAGCTAAGCTAAAGCTAAGCTAAAGCTAAGCTAAAGCTAAGCCACAGCTAAGCTAAAGCTCAGCTAAAGCTAAGCTAAAGCTAAGCTAAAGCTAAGCTAAAGCTAAGCTAAAACTGAGCAACAGCTAAGCTAAAGCTAAGATACAGCTAAGCTAAATATAAGCTAAAGCTAAGCTAAAGCTAAGCTAAAGCTAAGCTAAAGCTAAGCTAAAGCTAAGCTAAAGCTAAGCTAAAGCTAAGCTAAAGCTAAGTTAAAGCTAAGTTACAGCTAAGCTCAAGCTAAGCTCAAGCTAAGCTAAAGCTAAGCTAAAGCTAAGCTAAAGCTAAGCTAAACGCTAAGCGGAAGGCTAAGCGAAACGCTAAGCTAAAGCTAAGCTACAGCTGAGCTAAAGCTAAGCTAAAGCTAAGCTAAAGCTAAAGCTAAAGCTAAAGCTCCCAGGGGACTGGGGGGAACCGCTCCCAGGGGACCGGGGGAACCGCCCGGGGCGCTTTCCATTGCCCGGCCCCTTTAAGCTAAGAGAGTAAGAACCCTTCTAGGCAGAGCCTGGGTAGGGAAATAGAAGCGGCCATCTTGCAAACTGGAGCAAAAACAGAAATCAAATAATCACAACTGCCCCACCAACGAAAACACGTCATCCCACAAGTGACTGTCAGTGGCTAGAACCAACGAATCATCTAAATCAGCACAAAGACCCCTACAAACGAAAACACTCCTCAGCAAAACATCCCGACAAGAGGTTTGGCCGAAATAAATTACTTCAACGGTGGGACCCCACATGAGAATCGATTTAATGTGCCCCTCGTTTTTTCCCATTCGCTCTGCGGAGGCCCTCCTCCCGCCCACTGCTGCGCCTCCTCCTCCTCCTCGTGATTTCGCCCTCCGTCTCCTCCTCGTTCCCGAATCCGACCCGCAGCGCAAGCGATCACCAACTTGGGAGAACGTGCCCCAGCGTCCAAGCCGCTCAAGGTTGCCTCCCATGGGGACGCCACCAAACAGCTGCGAAGGCCCAAAGGACTCCAAAAGCACGCCAGACGAGCAGAACGGGCCCAAGACGGCCTCAATATGGCCCTTCGCTGATCCACAAAAACCCCTACAACTTCGGCTGTTCCGTGAAACCCCAACCTGCTTTCCGGACTTGGTGCAGCAAAGCGCTGTGGATATTTATGGGTCACTGTTTGATTTGTCGATGCTCCAGAGTAGATCGAGACGCAACATCGCTTCCGAGCTTGCCTCGATAAGTAGTCTCTGGACGAATCGGGCCGCGTGGGAGGCTTCGTGGGTATCCTTTGAGGTCCCAGCCTCGCCACGAAATAGGTCTGACAAAACAGGGGAACGCGCTGTAAAGGCCAACAGAAGGCGAGCTGAGCTCGTGCTCGGCACAGATGTTAATCTCATCTGCGACCAGCCTTCTCGGCGAGGCCGAACGCATGGCAGTTCTGGCCTCGCTAAACAAACCTCCAACTAGAGGAAAGCAAACACGTGCAATGCGAATACTGCCATCAAAAGTTCGGCGCTCGCCCTGACACATCAGACGTGGTGTTATGACCTGAAATGTGGCGATTGAAGATTACGTCTGAATGGCAGCAACCAGCGGCGTGGAGAGCGTGTACCGCTGCGACGGAAGAACACCAAAAAACGAATTCAAAACGACCCTCTTCCCCAAAAATGCTGTGAGAACCTTCCACATAGCCCTGGTCCTTACGGCCCACCAGCGGGAATCAAGGTTTGCCGGCAATCTTCCGCTTGGTGAGAGGCAGTCGATCTCAAGCGTCGAAGAAGCAGCAGCGGCTGATACTCTCTGCCCTCCGCTTCTGCTGTCAAGCAGGCTGGGGTGAGGGTCCTTCCTGATCCGCCCGCTTGCGCTTGAAGTCCTCGATGGCTTCCACGATAGCTGCAAGCCCGATAATCCTTGCGCCGTCCTCCAAGCTCCCCAGGAATTTGGACCTGTACGCCAGGGCCTCGTCGGGATCTGGGCAGTTCTCCAGCATATGCGTAAGGATCGCCGCATTGTTGGAAGACCAGCCTGTTATCATCAGGAGGTTCAGCCGCATGGGGCCCGAAGGCCTGTTGATGTCCAGACCATGCTTTACATAGAGCTCAAATGTAGCAGAGGTGCCCTCTACGAAGAACAAGTAATCATTCGTGACATTGTAACCTGCTTTCGGAAGCCACGTGTTGCCTGCAAGTCCAGAGTAAAAGCAGGCATTCCCGTCCATGCCCAGCCCGAACGCGAGGCGGAGGATGTCCTTGTTCTCCGCTGCATACATATACCAAGCATGGACAGCGTCAGCACCTGGGCTCCAGCGCTATAATTACAGCTTGTGTTGTAGTTTCATGAGGACGGCCTGGTTTGTGCTGCAACGAAATGACTTACTGGACATCTGAAAAAATCACCTCCATGCTCAACGAGAAGCTTGGCGCAAGAGAGAAATAAAGAAATCCGCCGATCTTCGACCGAACACACTTGGGCTCAGCGGAGCGAAATCCAAATTGTTTGGCGAATTGGGATCAGCACGACTCTCGAGAAGAAGCTTCAGCTTGTCAAAATATCCAGCCTGCGCTGGTCCGGCCAGAATGCTGTTCTCCTGGCCCGTGAGATTCCAAAAAGGACGCTTCATGGTCATCCCGACTTTGGCGTGGACGTCGGCACGGGCATTGATGAGCAGCTTCATGCACTCCAAGCCTTCATCGCCATTGTCCATGTCTGCAGCCATTGAGAGCGCGGTGCACTTCTCTGCACTCTCGGCGTTCACAGAAGCCCTGTGCATTATGAGGGCGTGCACAACCTCCACCCTGCCGCATGACGCAGCAAGCATTAAAGGAGTTAGGCCTGTTCTAGGATCCGCGAAATTCACGTCCACATCATCAACAATACTCAAAGTCCCATCCCAAGCTTTTTGCAAAGTGCCATACGGCTTGAAACCGGCCAGCTGGTCCAAGGTGCTGTTCATATCCCATGCCTTCACAAAGCCAGGGTCTTCACGCCCGCAAGCCCAATGCCACCACGTATTGTGAGTGATCCAGTTCATGAAATCGTAATCATTCCTATGCTCGCGTAGGATGCGAACTGCCTGCCACTTCTTGCCCATGCTGGCAAGCGCGAAGAGAGAATGGCCCTCATCAGAGAGTAGGCATGGGTGGACGCCCTTAGAAAGCAATGTGTCTAAGACCTCTAAGTCGGGCAGACTGGCCGCATGCCTCAACAATGTGCCGACGCCATCTAGGCGCCAACAATTGCTGTCAACCAGAGTTGGGACCATGACCCGGGCAAGAAAAAAATGACCATGAAACCACCTCTTGTTGCAATCCCTGTCATCCCAGACTACATCCGTTTCGTATTCGTCCCAATGGATTGCAGCAATCATATACCCGGAACCGTCTCCCACCCAGGGCCGGTGGTCCATTGGTGTACCATGAATCGCCTTGTCAAGGATAAGATAGCCCAGAGGGTGGCTGCAGCTGAATGAAAGAGCCATGCTCCCTACCTTCAAGAGTGCACGCTCGTCCTCGGCCAAGATCGCGCAGTACTGCTCGAGAACATCTGAGTCCAGCATCTCAAAGACGTGGAACCACACTTGGAGCCACCAGCTCTCGGACAGCCGCTCGCGGTCCAAACACTGCGAACTGCTAGATAGGATGGAGTTTACGTATGCTCGCATTTTCTTCTGAGAATGAGCATGGCAAACGATCGCCGCGCAATACTCACCGCCCATCAGCTCCTGGAATGACAGGTGCGTAAGCTGCACCTCAGGCTCCGCATCGAACACTTCAACTTTCTCTAAGATGGGCATGCGCCCCTGCTGAAACGCATCCTTCAGCACCACGATCATACCATTGTCGTCTGAGGCATGCTCTATGCCTGTCCAGGAAGTCGAGCGCAGCCTCAATTGGTGCAAATGAAACGACACTGACTGGAAGAGCTGTCGTGCCCGTACGCTCTTCAACATCTCTAGCCTGCGAACCATCGCTTGGTCATTGGCTCCATCCCGCATCGCGAACTTTGCAGCATCAGATTGATGCAACATGAGCTTCACAGCACGCTGGTAGATATCAGTCTTCTTCATGACATCCTTTCGTGCACGGTCATCTGTCAGTGGAAGACTCTTGCCTTCTGTACTCTGAGAGTGGAACTTCCGAAGCACATGGATGAGCAATGTCAAAATGAGGGGATTCTCCCTGAGGGAGGAATAGCCCGGGTCAGACACACTGCTTCGGATGGCGCTGATCGTCTCATGCGCTTCTTGAGCGCGTGTAAGTGTACGCTGCACAACGTCTTCAGCCTGTGGGAGAGTCAAAGCACCCATCCTGAACGAGACGAAAGCCAGCGACGCGAGCAAGTCATACTCCGAGGGTCCCAAATTACCTGGCCTCGATGTGAGAACACAGAGGTGTGACGGCTCGCTTTGCAGTATCGACCGGATGAATTCCAGCACCTGTAACCGAGAGGAAGCTGCCTCGTCCAGACCATCGAACAACAGAAACAACGCCTTGATGTCTTCTGAATGCTGGGGGTCTCCGATAGCTTTCTCGCGTGTTGCATCTTCTCCTTCCGATGCCGAAAGAACAGATGTCCTCCTGGACGCGCGGTCAGCAGCACCAAGGCACCAATTTCGCACAGTATAGACCAGCTTGTGCGGGATGGAATCGTGGCCATGCTTTCTTTGCATCCACTCGGATAGCAAGTCGCAGATCGGGTCGGCCCCTAGAGGCAGGTCCGGGTTAGCCTCAAGCTGCCTAGCCAAGTCGATAAGTGGAGTCCGGACGGGGATGAGGTTCATGCCGCTGATTCTCGTGGTACCCGCCATGTCTCCTGGCTCATCGCGGATGCCGAGCAGCTGTTGCTGTGCCACTTCCGAGAAAAGCTGCTTCGTCATGAGAGTCTTCCCGCTCCCGGAATCGCCAATCACGAATACCCGACCCTGATATCTTTCTTGACTCAGCACTTCTGGTAGATACTGCTGGTGGACCATGCGCAACTTCTCGCAGACAATCTTCACGCTCTTCGGCAGCTGTAGGCTACGCGGGAAAATGCGCCCACTGAACTTCACGTCCACTTTGATACAATGGTCAGTCACGTGTACTTTCTCGCGGGTGAGGAAGTCAGTGGACCACGCCTCCGCTGTCCCAATCTGCGCCAAATACCTAGGAAAGTCAGATTCAAACTCGAAAGAAGCAACCTGCACGTGTGTCGCACTGGTACTCAGTCGGCGGCCTTTCTGGCCCTCCCAGACTGTGCGGTACTGTTCAATCCATTCCAGCGCTGTGGGTCCGACGTCAACGCCAGCTTCCCACATCACTCGCTGAGCGCCTGCAAGGGCAAAGAAAGAAGCACGGGTCTTCTGGTGCATGCTCGGCTCACTGTATGATAGCATTCGCGCCGACCACGAGAAGAAAGCTAAAGCGAATGGAACGCCGTCGTTGTCTGGGACGTCGTCACCAATCTCGTAGATGCAGAGACAGTGCCTGATGCGTGTCAGCAGCTCAAGCACAAACGTGGCCGTCGGATCGCTCTTGAGCTGCTCCCCTCCGATTAAAGGCAGCGCTGTTGTGGCATCGGGTGTAGCGAACAGCAGCTTCGCAAACGTTTGGATGTGCGACTCGTTCACATTATCCTCCAGATACAAGAAGAGACAAGACGCAAGGAATTTTGAGAGGTCCATGAGCACGTGGACGTTGTCCTTCACGGTCGCGAAATCTATCAGCCAGACTAGCCCTTGTGAGTCGAGCAGTAGATTCCCGCCGTGCAAATCGTTGTGCGCCAAGCCACAAACTATTTGCCGGTCAAACTTTTTATTGAATCGCTGCTCCTGCTCAATGAACTCTTGGAAGAAGCGCTTGATGGTAGAACGTTTGCCGCACAACTCACTGACGAACTTGCCTTCGGGATCTAGGTCATCGATGTCGGGTGGCGTCAGAAATCCGATGCCCAATGCAGCATTGTGTTTGCTACGTTTCGCACCCTCCACAGCTCGATTGAGGATGCCGTGGCCGACAAAGCGGACAATCTTGTACATCTTGGCTAGATTCTCCTTCCTGACGGAACGCGTAGACATCGTGAAGGCAAGCATGCGTCGGGTCAGGGCCTCGTTGACGATGGGCACCACATCAGTCTGGCGCTTCCCAGAAGTAAACTCACCCTGGATTACTGACGCAAAGGTGAGCACAGGTGGGGCAGAAGCAAACTCGGGAAGACCAAATATGCCACCGCATAGGTCAATCTGCATGACAGCACATGGTTCGTCTTCGGAGACGTCTTCAAGAAATTGAGAATCCTTAACTTTCGGAGTTGTCAAGCCAAACAACTTCCCGTACCGCTCGGTCAACTCAATCTCCTCCTTCACGTTGGCAGCAACGTCGAATTTCAGCACTGATGACGGCATGGGTGTTCCGTCCTTGCGGCTGGGCGAGAAGAAGAAGACGGACGCGCCACTGAAACTCAAGGAGATTTGCTTCAGCTTGAACCGTGAATGCTGACGAGCCTCCCCGAGGCATAATAAGGCGCGCCTCTGATTTGCGCTCAACTTGTGCACGTCCCCCTGAAGCACAGCCTCCTCGTCTGACGCCTGCTCAGTCTGCGCCTCATTCCCATCTTCGTCAGGAACGTTGTAACCCACCAGCGCCGCTTCACCTGCAGCCTTTTGCTCCACGGACTCGCTCCCAAAATCTGCTTTCCAGAAAGTCTGGCAACAATGCACGTGCTTATTCGCGTGGAGCGCAATGCCCCCAGGCCCCTTGTCCGCAACTTCACGTATAAGTACCGGGCCCTTGTACGCTTTCTGGTGAGCTGCAACACGCGCTGCCCTCGCATCAATATCCTTTTTTGGCATGTGGAGACTCATCGCAGAGAGACAGAGAGAGCTGCGAGTTTGACGGGTCGAGAGCTCAATGCCACAGAGACTACGTGCAGCGCAACGCCTAGTGGACCCAAAGAAGGCCTGAACCAGAATGGCCGTGGACATCATCAGTATCATAATTATCACCACCACCACCATCACCATCATCATCATCATCATCATCATCATCATCATCATCATCATTATCATTATCATCATCATCATCATCATCATCATCATCATCATCATCATCATCATCATCATCATCATCATCATCATTATCATCATCATCGTCATCATCATCATCATCGTCATCATCGTCATCATCATCATTCGCCGTCCTCATCATTATCATCATCATCATCATCACCACCATCATCTCACCACGACCACCACCATCATCCTCAGGAAATGCATCATCAGCAGCAGCAGCATCATCATCATCATAATCACAAACACCGTCACCATCACCATCATCAGCATCATCATCATCACCATCATCATCATCATCATCATCACCATCATCATCATCATCATCATCATCATCATCATCATCATCATCATCATCATCATCATCATCATCATCATCATCATCATTACCATCACCATCACCAGGACCATCAGCATCGTCATCGTCATCATCACCAACACCATCACCGTCACCACCACCAAGACCACCAGAACTACCACGAAGACAACCATCACCATCACCACCAGCACAATCATCCTCACCATCATCATCATCATGTTCAGCATCAGCATCATCATCATCATCAGCATCATCATCTTCATCATCAGCATGACCATCATCATCATCATCATCATCATCATCGTCATCATCATCATCATCAGAATCAGCATCATCGTTATCGGTATCACCAACATCAACATCATTAACAAAATCAACATAAGCATCATCCTGAACAACATCATCATCATCATCATCATCATCATCGTCATCATCAGAATAAGGATCAGCATAATCATCATCGTCACCGTCAACATCAGCAGCATCATCGTCATCATCAGCATCATAAACATCATCGGAAGCAGCATCATCATCTTAATCATGACCAGCATCCTCATCAGCATCATCATCGTCATCATCGTAAGCGTCACAATCATCATCATCATCATCATCATCATTAGCATCATCATCAACATCAGCATCCATCAGCATCATCATCACCACCGACATCATCGTTATCATCAGGATCAATGTCATCATCATCGTCGTCATCATCATCATCATCACCATCATCAGCATCGTCATCGTCATCGCTATCATCAATATCAACATCACCAGCATCATCATCATCATCATCATCATCAGCAGCATCATCAGCACGATCTTCACAATCACCATCATCATCATCATCACCACCACCACCATCATCATCATCGTCGTCGTCATCAGCATCAGCATCATCGACATCACCATCATCATCATCAGCATCAACATCATCACAACCACCATGATCATCATCATCATAATCCTCATCATCATCATCATCACCATGACCAGCATAATCATCATCACCAGAATCATCATCACCATCATCATCATTAGCATTATCATCAGCATGGACGACAACATCAAAACAACAACATCATCACTGACCGGCCGACCGACTGACCGGGTGACCAGGTGGACAGCTGAACGGCTGACTGGGTGACCAGCATCACCAGCTGACAGGTTGACCGGCTGAGCAGTTGACTTGCTTTCCAGGAGCGCGTTTCTTTATTTTCGGCGATGACGGGCGACATGGGGGGAGGGGGGGCGGGGAGGGGTATGACGTAACACCCCCCGCGAGCAGCATGTAGATGGCGATCTGCCCCATAGCGCCTGTGTATGTGTACACCACAGCGCCTGCGTACACCGCAACAGCCGTGTGCAACGCAGCGCCTGCGTACACCACGGTGCTTTTGTGCATCACAGCGTCGGTGTACACCACAGCGAGTGTGCACACCGCAGCAGCCATGTGCAACATAGCGCCTGTCTACACCACAATGTTTTTGTGCACCGCAGCGCCTGTTCACATCGCATCGCCTGTCCACACCACAGCATCCGCGTGCAACGCATCGCTGGTGTACACCACGGCGCCTGCGTGCACAGGACAGGTAAAAGGAACATGTTGGTGATGATCTGCTGCGGACAGCTAAACGCCACGCCAAGGAAGTGCTGAGAATAGAATGCGACGTTTTCCTTCGTCCCGCCTCCACCTCCACATCCTCCTCCTCCTCCTCCTCCTCCTCCTCCACCTCCTCCTCCTCCTCCTCCTCCTCCTCCTCCTCCTCCTCCTCTTCATCCTCCTCGTCCCCTCTTTTCCTCCTCCCTCACCCTTCCCCCCTGTCGTGCGGGTCGGCGCGACAGCGCACGTGCGCATCTTAGCGTGCACCGCAGAATGGTCGATTGAATCAATCCTCTTGCCTCTTGGACGGCCAATTTCGCTGGAGCCTCCTGGACGCAAAATGGGAGTTACGATGATGTGGGCGGATTCCCGAGGACTCATTGATTTCAGCGGCGTGCCTGTTCCCATTGGGATTCTTTCCCAATCCTGTAGAAAACCATTTCTGTTGAATCCACAAACGCCCCATGTTGTCATAAGGACTATCTTTTCTTTTTGTTTTACAGAAAAATGTATCTGCAACAGCGGTGCTCTGTTGCACACGGTTGCTGAGGTGCACACAGTCGCCCTGGTGCACACAGGCGCTGTAGTGCGCGCGGGAACTGCGGTGTCCAGTGGTACTGTGTTGCACAGGGCTGATGTGGTGTACGCAAGCGCGGTGGTGTACACAAGCGCTGTGGTGCCCACAAGCACTGTGGCACACACTGGCGCTGTGTTGCGCGCGGATGCTATGGTGCACATGTGCGGTGTGGTGTACACAAGCGCTGTTGTGTACGCAGGTACTGTGGTGTACACAGGCGATGTGGTGCAGATCGCCACCGACATGGTGTTGCCACCCGTCCTCGGTCATTCTTGGGCATTCCCAGACGCCGCCGGCGAGAAACATGACGTCATCGGCCCCTTCCCCCACACCCCCAGATGATTGCCGTCATCGGCCTGGGATAAAAGAACACGCTCCAGCCGCGTCCGCGCGCCGACGACGATGAGCGACGAGCGACGAACGACAAGCGAAAAAGACGACGACGATGACGATGACGACAACGACGACGACGACGACGAGTGCGGACCAAATTCCGATGCGGATTCCTATGCGGACACTTATGTGGATCTCGATGCGCACGGCGGCAAGCCGGCTGACCAGTTGACCAGCTGACTGGCTGACAAGCTGACCATCTAACCGATTGACTGGCTGACCAAATGACCAACTGACTGGCTGACCGGCTGACCGGGTGGCCCGCTGACCGGATGACCGGGTAGCCCGCTGACCGGTGACCGGCGAGATGAACCCGCGGGCGCGCGTGGGGCGATCGCGCCCCCTCCTCCTTGCAGCCGGGGCACTCCCAGTGGATCGGGGCGATGTGAGGATAGAAGATGGCGGAACGTTGACTGATCCCTGGAGTGCACGGGCAAGTATGCCCACATGTTGCGCCCGCACGCCTTGCAGGTGTAGCGCGCGCGCTCGGCTGCCACTTCACGTATGATTTCGACCCCCGTGGTTCCAGAGGCCACTGTTGGCAAGGCTACTGAAGGACGTCGCACTCACAAGCACAAATCGCGAGGTGCGGGGGCCTCAGACGGCGGCGTGAATTCACGACGCCCTGGACGAGTCGCTCGGCCATCTTCCATGGCCAGACTGGGGCGTCGAAGCTGTCGCGGCCTTCGACGTGGACGCGGGAGAGTTTGCCCGTGCATCTGAGGTTCGCGGACTGCTCGAGGATGACCGGAGCTTCGGAGACCAGCCCGATGGTCTTTATCAAAATGCCCCCGCGACGATCTCGAAGACCAAGCTGACATCTGGGCAAAGATGACCACGTCCGCGCCTCGGGCTACCAGCACCTCTGGCAATGGCGACTCGCCGTACAGTTACGATGGTTCAGGCTGCTCGTTGACGACGCAGCCGCGTAACTCAAGCTGCAGCAGCGCAAGGCATCCGCAGAATAGGCCACGCGTGGCCGCGTCCTCGTAGAAGCGCAGTCTGGCGTGGTAGTTCTGCTAGCAGTTGAAGAGGGCCCATTGACCGAAGGGACTGTAGGCTGGAGCCATGATGGCTACTAGTGACCGACGTTGTCTATCATATATGCCCACGGCCCGCCGCTGGCACTCGCAGCGAAGGTCACAGCCAATGACCAAGTCGAAGTTCCTGCCAGCTCTACGGCGGCGGCGGACTACCAGTCTGCTAGTTCGCGCCTTTCCACCACAAACCTCGATGATGTCGACGCCGTGGTCGACAGCTGCGAGGTAGGTGGGGAGATGGCGGGCGGCGTGGATTTCGGTGGACTGAGATTCGAACACCAGCCGTTCGGGGGTCAGCTTCCGGCACCAGGGCCGGCGAGCCTCGGAACACCACGTGGGCAAACCTGCGGCAAGGTTGCCACGGCGGCCGCCCTCGTCGCACTTGCCCACGCAGCCTGGATCGCCCAAGGCTGGATGGCCGAGAGGACAAGGGGCTAACCCAGCGGGGTCGGCGCCGCAATCGCCGGAGCGCCCTCGGCGACCTGCTCGCACGTCTTGTGCACATGGCCCTCCTTTATCCTCTTCTTCTGGCGCGCGCGATCTCTGCCGTCGGGCAAGCGCTTGCGAAGCATTCGCCAGACACCCCCCGTGGCCGGTCGTGCTTGAGGACCTGAGTGTCTGAGGTGTTTGAGTGCACGCGGCCGAGGGCGCGCCGCTGGGCATCGCGCTTGCGGCATGCCACAGGATTGGAATACGCGCTCGAGCATGGCGAGCACACTGCCGTCGCGCCTCGTCGAAAGCGCACACTCCCAGGTGCATCGCAACTGCGGCCAGGTGAAGTCGAAACAGTCCGCGGCAAAGCAGGGCCGCATACATTCGTCGGTGGACGATCGCCGCGTCGTCGACGCGCTCCGCCAGACTGACGTTAAATCGGCGCAGCTGGCAGGAGATTGGCGCCCCGGCGAGCGCAATAAGACAACGCTGGTGCGTTTGGCCTCTGGGGCCAACGGCTCGCGGCAAGCCCGACGCTGGCCCGCGACGGAGCAAGCGGGCGTCGATCATCCGCCGCGCCGCTCGTCGTTTCCAGGGTTGGCCATGCTGGCCAAAGAACACTACCCCGGCGCTGGCGCCCTAGACCCTGGCGCACTTGTCAGGGAGAAGGAGTCGAGGACGAGGCGAGCCTCGCCCCCGATTGCTTCGCGCGTAACCCACCGCGCGCAGCAGTCGGCGTCGGGGAACGCGCTGTCGAACAACGGCTTTCTGGCCCCCTCGAACTCCGCGGCGCGGGCGGCGTCGACGCCGCGGTCTCGCCGTGGTAGCGACGCGCCCCGCTCTCGTTCTAGGGCTCAGGCGGGGCGCCCAGGCCCCGCCGCCCACTCCTGCCAGGGCAAGTTGGCGGGGTCAGCCTGGAGGGCCGGCCGGGCCACTTCCCGGCCAGGCAGCCCCTTGGAGAAATCGGCGCCACAGGCACCGAGAGACCCATCGGACGTCGCGCTGCCTACCTCTTTCGGGATGGACCCTTAGCCGAAAAACGTCACACCCGCGCGCCCAAAGCCTCAGGATCCACGGGACGACGGAGGAAGGTCGGGAATGCTGGGAACGACCACGATCTCGACATCGTCGACGACGCACTACATGAGGAGCAAGGTGATGCGACGGCCCTGCTGGACCACGCACGTCAGCCAGCGGCTTTCGACAGGATTACCTTAGCCAACCACGCCGCCTACGACATCGACGCCCTAGCGCGAGAGGTCGTCGCCTGGGCCGCAGACTAAAAGGCATGGAGGCCATCGCCCGCGCCCTCCACGGCCAGAACGCAAATGCTGCACTAACTGGCCACGCCATCACAGGAAGTCGCTGCGATGGGGAAGCGCACCTCGCAGCGCGATGCCACGCACAGCGGGGCTCACGATTTCTCCTCGAAAGGACGCAGCCTCACCCCCTGGGCCCCGTGGGCCAAATTCACAGCGAAGCGCAGTCGGCAGAGGTTCGCCCAGGCGCCGACGTCGACAACGACGCCTAACTGGCCACCGGGTAGATCGGCGCTCGCCAGGTAGCACGGCGACTCGCCCCCTGAACTCGCGCCCGCGCCCGACGAAGTCGGCCACCACGGGGGCGTTGATCTGCGCGTCGACGCGCGCGCGTCCAGGCGGGCACCCCAGGGCGCCGCCGCGCCCAATGCGGACGCGAAGCTGGACGCGCTGCCCGGCACTGGCACGAGATCTGGCCGAGGCGCCCCCAGGCCAGGGACCGGTCGAGAAGCCTGCGCTAGCTCTTGCTGCGGCGGGGCCCCACCGGGCACGCCCCCATCTTCCGCCGCGAGGGGTGGCGCCGCGAGCAACGGACCCGCCCGCGCACGATCTGCATCAGCGAAGCGGATATCGGCGACGACGTCGGCCGGGCCGCGGCACGCGGGACCGCGCGCAAAGCGGGCGTCTGTGTACTGCATCAGCTGCAGATGGCACGCGCGGCGCAAGATGCGGCGCCCATGCAGACGCACCACCATCTCGCCGCGCAAGAAGGCCTCGAGGCAGACAGGGCACCCGCTATCATCGCCCGTTAAAACCGCAACGGAAGGAGACTCGGCAGGTGGAGCGGCCGCCACAGGAGGGAGGAAAACAAGGGGTTATGTCAAGCTCTGCGCGGCCTGACGTCGCTGCCAGTCCTGCTGCCGCAAGGCTGCGCGCTGTGGAGCTCGTCGAGGCGCCGTCGCTGCGCGCGGTCGATGGCGGCGCCCACGTCGCGCTCGGACCGGCCGCCGCTGACCATCCAGGCATCGCGGCCGGCGAACCGCATGGCCACCCTCCCTGACGGTTGGCCCACGTCGACGTGGCTGTTCTGTTTGATCAGAAACAGCTCCTGGGGAGGCTCGGGCACAGGCGTCGACGCGACTACCCGCGCGGTTTGCGGCGGCCACGCGGAGCTCGATCCACGCGGGGCGCCGACGCCAGGGGCGGAAACGGAAGCCCAGGCGAGCGCGCGTCGAAAGGACCCCCACCCCAATACAGATGCCGGGAGTGGCACGGCGCCCGCGCGGCCGCAGCCCCGGCGCGGGACAGCCCCCCCAAAGTGAGAGAGGACCCCGAAGACAGCAGCCTCGCGGAGAAGGGCAGCGGCGCAGCGGCGGCGAAGCGTCGAGGCAGCTGGAGGCATGGACATGGAGCGGGGACGGAGGGGGGGCGGTTGGAGGGGAGGGGGAATGGGGGGTGGCAGAGGAGCACAGCCGCGCGGACTTGGACAGTGCCCTACTCAAGAATTCGCGCTCGCAGGGCGCAGCTTGCCGCGCGGCGCTGAATGCCGCGTCGCGAGCGAACAGAGCAGAAGGGGGGGGCGAAGCGCTTCGCCGCCCGCGTCGAACGCAGGAGGGGGCAACGCACCCCCAGGGCGCGACAAACGAGGGGGTTGCCACTGCAATAGAATAGCCGCAGACACGCGCACGGCCGCGGAAGAAGACGGGCCCGCGCGTCGAAACAGAGATATCGCCACGCAGTGCAGCGCGAATGCAAAGCAGAAAACACGCACGCGCGTCAACGCGAAACCGCCGCCACGCAGCGCAGCGCGACTGCGAGGCAGAACATGGGCGCGTCGCAACAAGAATACCGCCGCACTGCGCCGCAAGACTGCGAAGCAGACAAAATATGTCGAAACGACGATGCCGCCACAGTGCAGAATGACAGCAAAGCCGCAGCACAAGTGTCAACCATAGGCGAAGTTACAATGAATTATCCCACTGCGATCCGACCTTGGAGTTGGAGCATTTAGGAAAGCAACATCTACATCTACACCGACACCTACATGTACATCTACACCTGCAGCTACATCTACACCAACATCAACAGCGAGACTCACATCTACATCTATATATACATCTACATATATATACACCTCCATCTACATCTACGTCTACATATACATCCACATCAGCACTACACCTACATCGACATCTACATCTACAATATCGCATTGGTTATGTTGTTGATTTGAATTGTCTTTGCTTTTGCTCGTGCCTTTGCGTTTTGCCTTGTTATGAGAGGATATGATGCGCTGTGCTATGATATGAAATGCTGTGCTATCCTATGATATGATATACTATGATGTGTTATGATGTGCTATGATATGCTATGCTGCGCTGTGTTATGCTAAGCAATGCTATGGTGTGCTAAGCTATGCGATGCTGCGCTATGCTATGTTATGATGTGAAATGCTATGTTATGATGGCCTATGATATGATATGTTATGATTGGCTATGCGATGCTGTGCTATGCTATGATGTGCTAATGCTGCGCTGCGCTATGCTGCGCTGCGCTAAGCTATGGTAAGCTGAGCTATGCTAAGCTAAGCTAAGCTAAGCTAAGCTAAGCTAGGCTAGGCTCAGCTAAGTTAAGCTAAGCCAAGCTAAACAAAGCTAGGTTAAGATGTTATAAGCTAAGCTAAGCTAAGCTAAGCTAAGCTAAGCTAAGCTAAGCTAAGCTAACCTAGGCTAAGCTAAACTAAGCTAAGTTAGGCTAGACAAAGCTAAGTTAAGTTAAGCTAAGCTAAAATGAAATCAGCTAAGCTAAGATGAGATAAGCAGCGCTCAGCTAAGGGAGCGCCACTGGGGGAACCGCGGGGCGGATCCTGGGGAAACGCCCGGGGCGCATTACACTGCCCGGTCCTTAAAGTTTACCGAGCAAGAACCCGTCTAGGCAGAGCCTAGGTAGGGAAAAATACGCCGAATACGCAGCCCGCCAAGACACGAGGGCGCCGGGCAGCAAACCGAGGGCGCACTGACCAACACAAGTCGCGATCCACAACTTCGCCGCGTTCACGCCATAAGGCCAGCGGGCCCCCCGCCCAGCAACAATCCCAGCCAAATCCCAGCCGCCGCCGGGCAATATCCCAACCAAATCCCCGCCGCGGCCCCGCCGCGGCCCCGCCGCCGCCCAGCCGCGGCCCGGCCGCCGCCCGGCCGCCGCCCCAAAAAAAGCTGCCACCCCTCTAAAAAAAAACACCGCCAGCAAAATCCTACCCGAATCCCCGCGGCGGCCCCGCCGCCGCCCAGCCGCCGCCAAACCGCGCCCCAGCCACGGGCCCTCTCCCCGGGTGCCCCAACACGGCTTCATGGGACCTCGCAGGAAGAAGGGGCGCGATGGGAAACAGGTAGAACGCGACGGGGGAGCACGGCTGCAGGAGGGGGAAGGAAGACCGCCCGGAGCGAGCGGCGGGAGGAACGGCAAAAAGGGCACGAAAGGAAAGCGGGAAGGCGGCGAAGGAAATATGGAGAGGACAGAGGTTGAAGGAGGGCGGATGAGGGAGGCTAGAGGGAAGACAACGCGAGCCAGGAAGAGGATAAGAGGAGGGACCATCGATGAGGATTGAGAAAAGAAGAAATAAGGAGGACAAGGGCAGGGGGGAGAGGATAAGGGGCCGGGCCTGCGCAGGCCTGGGAAGACACCAGCAACGCGAAGAACAAAGGAGAACTGTTGGCGACGACGAATGCGATAGTGATAATGGAAGCAATGGAAGCAATTCAAACATACTTGAATGGACGTTTTTGGTTCGACGTGGACCTCCGCATCGGCGGGATACAGCGTTTTTTGGGCCGCTGCATATTCACCGCGGCAAATGGCAGCGTCGGCGCCAGGGCCGCCGCGCGCGAAACGGACCGGAGAAAGCTCAAGAAGAATCGAATGACGAAGCGCGCGCGAACGGCCCCAAAGCGGACGCAATCGCAACGATTCGGCGCCGTTCGCTACGACGCCATCGCCGGCCGCGCCAGCCTGACACAAACACTCGCGAGAGACTGCCGCGCCATAGCAGCGCTAACCGCGCACCCCAAAAAGCCAGCAAAAAAAGCCACGTGCAAGGATGGGCGAGAACACGGGTGTGGCCAGCTGGATGTCGGCTGCTTTTCTGTCCGACTTACACTTGGGGGGGTCATTTTTTGCCCGGGCCTCCTCAACGGCGGGCATGGATGCCCAGCTCAGCAATTTCACGTCGGCAGGCAGGGCTGGAGGCACGTCGTCTCGCGCGTTGAGGTCGCCCACCCAGTCGCGCCCCACCGCTTGTCCCAAAGGGGAACTCACTGCCCACTCGCGCCCACCGATGTCGCGTTCATTGCGATGGCACCGTGGAAGATGCCGAGGCAACTGGGGCTGCCGGCGCGGCCGCAACTCCAGGAGCCGCCGCGGCCAGCGCCGCCTCCCCCGCGGCCGCCGCGCGGGACGGCGACGCAGTCGCGGGCCCGCTGGCCTCGCCGAGTCTCGCGCGCGGCCCGTGGGCCCTGCCATCTCCTGTCGCAGTCGCAGTAGTCCGGCGCTGAGAAGATCGGGGCGGGCGACGACGAAGACGTCGCGATGGTCCTGAGTTTCAACGAAAACGCCCACGGGCGTCCTTGGCGCCAGCGCCTGGCTTTAAGCATTGCAAACAGTGCCTCGAATCGCGCGAACGAAAGCCCGGCAGCGCACGCAGCACCGATGCAGGGCCAGGCGGGAGCGCGAAGCAGACCATGCGCTTCGTCGCCCCAGCGGCCCCAGCTACGTCGCGACACCCCAGGACCTCCAAGAAAGCCTCATCGACACCCATGGACGCGATAGTCCAAGATTTCTTGCACGCGGCCGCGCTTGCGAGCAGTCTGCGACCCGCTCGCCTGGCTGCACCTGAAAAGGCCCCCACGTCGACGGTGTCGACATCCATGAATCCGCGAAGTACTAGGCGTAGTCTGATGGTGCGCCCCATCTCGCCCTTACCGTTTTTCGCGAATGTCCATGTGCCCCCACATCTTGATGTCATGATGCTCATCGCGCTTCTGATCCCTGCATCTGACAGCAGTCATTGTCGAACCGCATTTTCAGTTCAGCGCGCAAAGGTTTGGCTATCTCGACAGGGGTTGACTGGATTTCGGCCCACGCTAGGAGGTCGTCTTGCTTGACAGAATCAGCTCTTTTAGACGCGGCTCACACATACACACATAGTGGTTATTATCTGGCCATCGTGGAATATGTTGTGCTGCTGTTCTCTTGAGACAACTTCGGACATATCAATAATGAATACATAGCTCTACATGCGAACCGTGATCGTCCGAATCCAGACCGTAGGTCTCGTCGCATTCGGTGGTAAGGGGGGCGAAGTACGTCTCCTCTGCGCCGCCCTGGCAACAGCCCGTCGCGCGCGAGTTCCCTCGCTCCTCACTGGCCACAGTCACAAGCACATGGTCTTCGGTAAGCATCTCGGTACGCACCGTAAATAAGGACTCCACTGGAATTTCCTCCGCGAGTTTCTTTTCTTCCTGGAGTTCAAGGTACTATGCTTCCAAAATGTGAGTTTTCAAATCCATATCTGACTCCTCGCTGATAGCCGGAAGTCATCCGTTGTTAGAGGCACGAGCACAGGATCGTCCTTCCTCCTGAGCGTGACCGCTCGATGGCGTCGAGCTCGCCAGTTCCTCAAACTTCGATCGGTCTTCATCGAAGCCCACTGAGGGCTCTGAAGACCTGAAGCGTTGGATGATACGTGCGAGCCTGGACCCAGCGACGTCATGGATATTCAGGGCTGTACCTTCGGATTCGTAGTAGTGGAGTCACGGTGGCACGTCGCTGTCATAATATAGTAGTGTACAACTGCCAGCATAAAGAACTCAGTGGATGCTCTTAACCAAGCGTACTGTTACTGCATTCTCGATCCGGGAGTAGTCCCTGATAAGAAAGAGCCAGGCTAACTGTAACTTCCACGAGAGTCTACTCGCCGTGACCATTTGCAGGTGGCCCTGCTTAGTTGGCACATAGCCAAACACCATACCAAGTTTCTCCGATGGCAGGCTCGCGATAACGGCCAGCACGGTTCGCATGGCTGTTGTGCCGGAGCCAATCTCGAGGACAATGAATATTTCCGAGTACACTGTGTGACGCAAGTCTGGATACTGTACTAAACTTTTTCGGCCGCCGACCTGTACTACTGCCTGACCTGGGCCAAGGAAATTTCGTGCGATTGGGCATGGTCCACTTCATTATTCCCATTCACCCTTTGTGGTGCTCAGTCCAGAATAGTCAACGAGATCACCTGGTTGATAGTTGCATTGTCCACCTGATGTCGCTTTCGTGCGCAAGGCTCGGTTAGCCCTGACTATTGCCGTGGTCTGTGTAATGGCCTCGATATTCACCTCCCTGATGTTCTTATCACCGTTATGATCGGACGTTTCTGTCCCTCGTTCGTGAACTATCACGGGAAAGTCTGGGGGGCAAGCCGATTGTCGGCTATGTAGTACCGGGTACGGAGATTCGCCGCCATAGAACGTGAATGCACTGCAGACAAATAGGCCCGCGGGCAGTAATCGTGAAATCACCAGAGGGATATCAAGTCTCGTGAGCCCCTCCCACATAGCGTGCAGGGTATGTATTAGAACTCCGCTGCGCGCTTCAATAATCGTGGCATGTTGGCCCTCGGCCAAGTCCAAAATTACAGAGGCCAATCCCGGTTGCATGTACAAGTGAAGGATGTATTGCATAAGTTCTGAAATTGAATGACCAGCCTCAAGAATGTTGCAACGCCGGAAGTAGACCTAGCTTCGTGCACTCCCATCTTAACTCTGCTGTTATCACTGTTATGGCGTCGATCAGAACGTTCATTGTTGACATCTGGCACCCCATATTAGCTTTCACTGTTACCTATATTTCACACATAATCATGATCACAGCTATAGCTTCGAAAAAAAGAATACATGTTAATCAACAATTGGCCTTAATCAACCAGCACACTCAATTATATAAAATTATCCCAGTGCGACCCTACCTAGGAGTTGGAACCCCTAGGAAAGCAGCATTAGTAGTAACAGTAACGCTAAGCTAAAGCTAAGCTGAAGCTAAGCTAAAGCTAAGCTAGAGCTAAGCCACAGCTAAGCTAAAGCTAAGCTAAAGCTAAGCTAAAGCTAAGCTAAAGCTAAGCTAAAGCTAAGCTAAAGCTGAGCAACAGCTAAGCTAAAGCTAAGATACAGCTAAGCTAAAGATAAGCTAAAGCTAAGCTAAAGCTAAGCTAAAGCTAAGATAAAGCTAAGCTACAGCTGAGCTCAAGCTAAGCTAAAGCTAAGCTAAAGTTAAGCTAAACGCTAAGCGAAAAGCTAAGCGAAACGCTAAGCTAAACGCTAAACTACAGCTAAGCTAAAGCTAAGCTAAAGCTAAGCTAAAGCTAAAGCTAAAACTAAAGCTCCCAGGGGACTGGGGGGAACCGCTCCCAGGGGACCGGGGGAACCGCCCGGGGCGCTTTCCATTGCCCGGCCCCTTTAAGCTAAGAGAGTAAGAACCCTTCTAGGCAGAGCCTAGGTAGGGAAATAGAAGCGGTCATCTTGCAAACTGGAGCAAAAACAGAAATCAAATAATCACAACTACCCCACCAACGAAAACACGTCATCCCACAAGTGACTGTCAGTGGCTAGAACCAACGAATCATCTAAATCAGCACAAAGACCCCTACAAACGAAAACACTCCTCAGCAAAACATCCCGACAAGAGGTTTGGCCGGAATAAATTACTTCAACGGTGGGACCCCACATGAGAATCGATTTAATGTGCCCCTCGTTTTTTCCCATTCGCTCTGCGGAGGCCCTCCTCCCGCCCACTGCTGCGCCTCCTCCTCCTCCTCGTGATTTCGCCCTCCGTCTCCTCCTCGTTCCCGAATCCGACCCGCAGCGCAAGCGATCACCAACTTGGGAGAACGTGCCCCAGCGTCCAAGCCGCTCAAGGTTGCCTCCCATGGGGACGCCACCAAACAGCTGCGAAGGCCCAAAGGACTCCAAAAGCACGCCAGACGAGCAGAACGGGCCCAAGACGGCCTCAATATGGCCCTTCGCTGATCCACAAAAACCCCTACAACTTCGGCTGTTCCGTGAAACCCCAACCTGCTTTCCGGACTTGGTGCAGCAAAGCGCTGTGGATATTTATGGGTCACTGTTTGATTTGTCGATGCTCCAGAGTAGATCGAGACGCAACATCGCTTCCGAGCTTGCCTCGATAAGTAGTCTCTGGACGAATCGGGCCGCGTGGGAGGCTTCGTGGGTATCCTTTGAGGTCCCAGCCTCGCCACGAAATAGGTCTGACAAAACAGGGGAACGCGCTGCAAAGGCCAATAGAAGGCGAGCTGAGCTCGTGCTCGGTACAGATGTTAATCTCATCTGCGACCAGCCTTCTCGGCGAGGCCGAACGCATGGCAGTTCTGGCCTCGCAAAACAAACCTCCAACTAGAGGAAAGCAGACACGTGCAATGCGAATACTGCCATCAAAAGTTCGGCGCTCGCCCTGACACATCAGACGTGGTGTTATGACCTGAAATGTGGCGATTGAAGATTACGTCTGAATGGCAGCAACCAGCAGCGTGGAGAGCGTGTACCGCTGCGACGGAAGAACACCAAAAAACGAATTCAAAACAACCCTCTTCCCCAAAAATGCGATGAGAACCTTCCACATAGCCCTGGTCCTTACGGCCCACCGGCGGGAATCAAGGTTTGCCGGCAATCTTCCGCTTGGTGAGAGGCAGTCGATCTCAAGCGTCGAAGAAGCAGCAGCGGCTGATACTCTCTGCCCCCCGCTTCTGCTGTCAAGCAGGCTAGGGTGAGGGTCCTTCCTGATCCGCCCGCTTGCGCTTGAAGTCCTCGATGGCTTCCACGATAGCTGCAAGCCCGATAATCCTTGCGCCGTCCTCCAAGCTCCCCAGGAATTTGGACTTGTACGCCAGGGCCTCGTCGGGATCTGGGCAGTTCTCCAGCATATGCGTAAGGATCGCCGCATTGTTGGAAGACCAGCCTGTTATCATCAGGAGGTTCAGCCGCATGGGGCCCGAAGGCCTGTTGATGTCCAGACCATGCTTTACATAGAGCTCAAATGTAGCAGAGGTGCCCTCTACGAAGAACCAGTAATCATTCGTGAGATTGTAACCTGCTTTCGGAAGCCACGTGTTGCCTGCAAGTCCAGAGTAAAAGCAGGCATTCCCGTCCATGCCCAGCCCGAACGCGAGGCGGAGGATGTCCTTGTTCTCCGCTGCATACATATACCAAGCATGGACAGCGTCAGCACCTGGGCTCCAGCTCATATAATTACAGCGTGTGTTGTAGTTCATGAGAAGGCCTGGTTTGTGCTGCAGCGAAATGAGCTTACTGGACCATCTGAAAAAATCACCTCCATGCTCAACGAGAAGCTTGGCGCAATCCGCATTGTTCGACCGAACACACTGGATCAGCGGAGCGAAATCCAAATTGTTTGGCGAATTGGGATCAGCACGACTCTCGAGAAGAAGCTTCAGCTTGTCAAAATATCCAGCCTGCGCTGGTCCGGCCAGAATGCTGTTCTCCTGGCCCGTGAGATTCCAAAAAGGACGCTTCATGGTCATCCCGACTTTGGCGTGGACGTCGGCACGGGCATTGATGAGCAGCTTCATGCACTCCAAGCCTTCATCGCCATTGTCCATGTCTGCAGCCATTGAAAGCGCGGTGCACTTCTCTGTACTCTCGGCGTTCACAGAAGCCCTGTGCATTATGAGGGCGTGCACAACCTCCACCCTGCCGCATGACGCAGCAAGCATTAAAGGAGTTAGGCCTGTTGTAGGATCCGCGAAATTCACGTCCACATCATCAACAATACTCAAAGTCCCATCCCAGGCTTTTTGCAAAGTGCCATACGGCTTGAAACCGGCCAGCTGGTCCAAGGTGCTGTTCATGTCCCATGCCTTCACAAAGCCAGGGTCTTCACGCCCGCAAGCCCAGTGCCACCACGTATTGTGAGTGATCCAGTTCATGAAATCGTAATCATTCCTATGCTCGCGTAGGATGCGAACTGCCTGCCACTTCTTGCCCATGCTGGCAAGCGCGAAGAGAGAATGGCCCTCATCAGAGAGTAGGCATGGGTGGACGCCCTTAGAAAGCAATGTGTCTAAGACCTCTAAGTCGGGCAGACTGGCCGCATGCCTCAACAATGTGCCGACGCCATCTAGGCGCCAACAATTGCTGTCAACCAGAGTTGGGACCATGACCCGGGCAAGAAAAAAATGACCATGAAACCACCTCTTGTTGCAATCCCTTGTCATCCCAGACTACATCCGTTTCGTATTCGTCCCAATGGATTGCAGCAATCATATACCCGGAACCGTCTCCCACCCAGGGCCGGTGGTCCATTGGTGTACCATGAATCGCCTTGTCAAGGATAAGATAGCCCAGAGGGTGGCTGCAGCTGAATGAAAGAGCCATGCTCCCTACCTTCAAGAGTGCACGCTCGTCCTCGGCCAAGATCGCGCAGTACTGCTCGAGAACATCTGAGTCCAGCATCTCAAAGACGTGGAACCACACTTGGAGCCACCAGCTCTCGGACAGCCGCTCGCGGTCCAAACACTGCGAACTGCTAGATAGGATGGAGTTTACGTATGCTCGCATTTTCTTCTGAGAATGAGCATGGCAAACGATCGCCGCGCAATACTCACCGCCCATCAGCTCCTGGAATGACAGGTGCGTAAGCTGCACCTCAGGCTCCGCATCGAACACTTCAACTTTCTCTAAGATGGGCATGCGCCCCTGCTGAAACGCATCCTTCAGCACCACGATCATACCATTGTCGTCTGAGGCATGCTCTATGCCTGTCCAGGAAGTCGAGCGCAGCCTCAATTGGTGCAAATGAAACGACACTGACTGGAAGAGCTGTCGTGCCCGTACGCTCTTCAACATCTCTAGCCTGCGAACCATCGCTTGGTCATTGGCTCCATCCCGCATCGCGAACTTTGCAGCATCAGATTGATGCAACATGAGCTTCACAGCACGCTGGTAGATATCAGTCTTCTTCATGACATCCTTTCGTGCACGGTCATCTGTCAGTGGAAGACTCTTGCCTTCTGTACTCTGAGAGTGGAACTTCCGAAGCACATGGATGAGCAATGTCAAAATGAGGGGATTCTCCCTGAGGGAGGAATAGCCCGGGTCAGACACACTGCTTCGGATGGCGCTGATCGTCTCATGCGCTTCTTGAGCGCGTGTAAGTGTACGCTGCACAACGTCTTCAGCCTGTGGGAGAGTCAAAGCACCCATCCTGAACGAGACGAAAGCCAGCGACGCGAGCAAGTCATACTCCGAGGGTCCCAAATTACCTGGCCTCGATGTGAGAACACAGAGGTGTGACGGCTCGCTTTGCAGTATCGACCGGATGAATTCCAGCACCTGTAACCGAGAGGAAGCTGCCTCGTCCAGACCATCGAACAACAAAAACAACGCCTTGATGTCTTCTGAATGCTGGGGGTCTCCGATAGCTTTCTCGCGTGTTGCATCTTCTCCTTCCGATGCCGAAAGAACAGATGTCCTCCTGGACGCGCGGTCAGCAGCACCAAGGCACCAATTTCGCACAGTATAGACCAGCTTGTGCGGGATGGAATCGTGGCCATGCTTTCTTTGCATCCACTCGGATAGCAAGTCGCAGATCGGGTCGGCCCCCAGAGGCAGGTCCGGGTTAGCCTCAAGCTGCCTAGCCAAGTCGATAAGTGGAGTCCGGACGGGGATGAGGTTCATGCCGCTGATTCTCGTGGTACCCGCCATGTCTCCTGGCTCATCGCGGATGCCGAGCAGCTGTTGCTGTGCCACTTCCGAGAAAAGCTGCTTCGTCATGAGAGTCTTCCCGCTCCCGGAATCGCCAATCACGAATACCCGACCCTGATATCTTTCTTGACTCAGCACTTCTGGTAGATACTGCTGGTGGACCATGCGCAACTTCTCGCAGACAATCTTCACGCTCTTCGGCAGCTGTAGGCTACGCGGGAAAATGCGCCCACTGAACTTCACGTCCACTTTGATACAATGGTCAGTCACGTGTACTTTCTCGCGGGTGAGGAAGTCAGTGGACCACGCCTCCGCTGTCCCAATCTGCGCCAAATACCTAGGAAAGTCAGATTCAAACTCGAAAGAAGCAACCTGCACGTGTGTCGCACTGGTACTCAGCCGGCGGCCTTTCTGGCCCTCCCAGACTGTGCGGTACTGTTCAATCCATTCCAGCGCTGTGGGTCCGACGTCAACGCCAGCTTCCCACATCACTCGCTGAGCGCCTGCAAGGGCAAAGAAAGAAGCACGGGTCTTCTGGTGCATGCTCGGCTCACTGTATGATAGCATTCGCGCCGACCACGAGAAGAAAGCTAAAGCGAATGGAACGCCGTCGTTGTCTGGGACGTCGTCACCAATCTCGTAGATGCAGAGACAGTGCCTGATGCGTGTCAGCAGCTCAAGCACAAACGTAGCCGTCGGATCGCTCTTGAGCTGCTCCCCTCCGATTAAAGGCAGCGCTGTTGTGGCATCGGGTGTAGCGAACAGCAGCTTCGCAAACGTTTGGATGTGCGACTCGTTCACATTATCCTCCAGATACAAGAAGAGGCAAGACGCAAGGAATTTTGAGAGGTCCATGAGCACGTGGACATTGTCCTTCACGGTCGCGAAATCTATCAGCCAGACTAGCCCTTGTGAGTCGAGCAGTAGATTCCCGCCGTGCAAATCGTTGTGCGCCAAGCCACAAACTATTTGCCGGTCAAACTTTTTATTGAATCGCTGCTCCTGCTCAATGAATTCTTGGAAGAAGCGCTTGATGGTAGAACGTTTGCCGCACAACTCACTGACGAACTTGCCTTCGGGATCTAGGTCATCGATGTCGGGTGGCGTCAGAAATCCGAAGCCCAATGCAGCATTGTGTTTGCTACGTTTCGCACCCTCCACAGCTCGATTGAGGATGCCGTGGCCGACAAAGCGGACAATCTTGTACATCTTGGCTAGATTCTCCTTCCTGACGGAACGCGTAGACATCGTGAAGGCAAGCATGCGTCGGGTCAGGGCCTCGTTGACGATGGGCACCACATCAGTCTGGCGCTTCCCAGAAGTAAACTCACCCTGGATTACTGACGCAAAGGTGAGCACAGGTGGGGCAGAAGCAAACTCGGGAAGTCCAAATATGCCACCGCATAGGTCAATCTGCATGACAGCACATGGTTCGTCTTCGGAGACGTCTTCAAGAAATTGAGAATCCTTAACTTTCGGAGTTGTCAAGCCAAACAACTTCCCGTACCGCTCGGTCAACTCAATCTCCTCCTTCACTTGGCAGCAACGTCGAATTTCAGCACTGATGACGGCATGGGTGTTCCGTCCTTGCGGCTGGGCGAGAAGAAGAAGACGGACGCGCCACTGAAACTCAAGGAGATTTGCTTCAGCTTGAACCGTGAATGCTGACGAGCCTCCCCGAGGCATAATAAGGCGCGCCTCTGATTTGCGCTCAACTTGTGCACGTCCCCCTGAAGCACAGCCTCCTCGTCTGACGCCTGCTCAGTCTGCGCCTCATTCCCATCTTCGTCAGGAACGTTGTAACCCACCAGCGCCGCTTCACCTGCAGCCTTTTGCTCCACGGACTCGCTCCCAAAATCTGCTTTCCAGAAAGTCTGGCAACAATGCACGTGCTTATTCGCGTGGAGACGCAATGCCCCCAGGCCCCTTGTCCGCAACTTCACGTATAAGTACCGGGCCCTTGTACGCTTTCTGGTGAGCTGCAACACGCGCTGCCCTCGCATCAATATCCTTTTTTGGCATGTGGAGACTCATCGCAGAGAGACAGAGAGAGCTGCGAGTTTGACGGGTCGAGAGCTCAATGCCACAGAGACTACGTGCAGCGCGACGCCTAGTGGACCCAAAGAAGGCCTGAACCAGAATGGCCGTGGACATCATCAGTATCATAATTATCACCACCACCACCATCACCATCATCATCATCATCATCATCATCATCATCATCATCATCATTATCATTATCATCATCATCATCATCATCATCATCATCATCATCATCATCATCATCATCATCATCGTCATCATCATCATCGTCATCATCGTCGTCGTCATCATCATCATTCGCCGTCCTCATCATTATCATCATCACCACCATCATCTCACCACGACCACCACCATCATCATCCTCAGGAAATGCACCATCAGCATCATCATCATCACCATAATCACAAACACCGTCACCATCATCATCATCAGCATCATCATCATCATCATCATCATCATCATCATCATCATCATCATCATCATCATCATCATCATTACCATCACCATCACCAGGACCATCAGCATCATCATCGTCATCATCACCAACACCATCACCGTCACCACCATCAAGACCACCACAACCACCACCAAGACAACCATCACCATCACCACCAGCACAATCATCCTCACCATCATCATATTCAGCATCAGCATCATCATCATCAGCATCATCGTCTTCATCATCAGCATGACCATCATCATCATCATCATCATCATCATCATCATCGTCATCATCATCATCAGAATCAGCATCATCGTTATCGGTATCACCAACATCAACATCATTAAAATCATCAACATAAGCATCATCCTGAACAACATCATCATCATCATCATCATTGTCATCATCAGAATAAGGATCAGCATAATCATCATCGTCACCGTCACCATCAGCAGCATCATCGTCATCATCAGCATCATAAACATCATCGGAAGCAGCATCATCATCTTAATCATGACCAGCATCCTCATCAGCATCATCATCGTCATCATCAAAAGCGTCACAATCATCGTCATCATGACCGCTGACCATCCAGGCATCGCGGCCGGCGAACCGCATGGCCACCCTCCCTGACGGTTGGCCCACGTCGACGTGGCTGTTCTGTTTGATCAGAAACAGCTCCTGGGGAGGCTCGGGCACAGGCGTCGACGCGACTACCCGCGCGGTTTGCGGCGGCCACGCGGAGCTCGATCCACGCGGGGCGCCGACGCCAGGGGCGGAAACGGCGGGCGAGGAGGCCCAGGCGAGCGCGCGTCGAAAGGACCCCCCCCAATACAGATGCCGGGAGTGGCACGGCGCTCGCGCGGCCGCAGCCCCGGCGCGGGACAGCCCCCCCAAAGCGAGAGAGGACCCCGAAGACAGCAGCCTCGCGGAGAAGGGCAGCGGCGCAGCGGCGGCGAAGCGTCGAGGCAGCTGGAGGCATGGACATGGAGCGGGGACGGAGGGGGGGCGGTTGGAGGGGAGGGGGAATGGGGGGTGGCAGAGGAGCACAGCCGCGCGGACTTGGACAGTGCCCTACTCAAGGATTCGCGCTCGCAGGGCGCAGCTTGCCGCGCGGCGCTGAATGCCGCGCCGCGAGCGAACAGAGCAGAAGGGAGGGGGCGAAGCGCTTCGCCGCCCGCGTCGAACGCAGGAGGGGGCAACGCACCCCCCGGGCGCGACAAACGAGGGGGTTGCCACTGCAAGAGAATAGCCGCAGACACGCGCACGGCCGCGGAAGAAGACGGGCCCGCGCGTCGAAACAGAGATATCGCCACGCAGTGCAGCGCGAATGCAAAGCAGAAAACACGCACGCGCGTCAACGCGAAACCGCCGCCACGCAGCGCAGCGCGACTGCGAGGCAGAACATGGGCGCGTCGCAACAAGAATACCGCCGCACTGCGCCGCAAGACTGCGAAGCACACAAAATATGTGATGCCGCCAGTGCAGAATGTCTGTAAAGCCGCAGCACAAGTGTCAACCATAGGCGAAGTTACAATGAATTATCCCACTGCGATCCTACCTTGGAGTTGGAGCATTTAGGAAAGCAACATCTACATCTACACCGACACCTACATGTACATCTACACCTGCATCTACATCTACACCAACATCAACAGCGAGACTCACATCTACATCTACATCTACATATATATATATATATATATATGTACACACACATACACACCTCCATCTACATCTACGTCTACATCTACATCCACATCGGCACTACACCTACATCTACATCTACATCTACATCTACAATTTTGGTTGTGCTTTTGCTTTGAATTGCCTTTGCTTTTGCTCGTGTCTTTGCGTTTGCCTTGTTATGCTAGGATATGCTGCGCTGTGCTATGATATGATATGCTGCGCTATACTATGCTATGATATACTATGATGTGCTATGATGTGCTATGATATGCTATGCTGCGCTGTGCTATGCTAAGCAATGTTATGCTGTGCTAAGCTATGCGATGCTGCGCTAAGCTATGCTATGCTGTGCTATGCTATGGTATGCTGGTCTATGATATGATATGTTATAATTGGCTATGCTATGCTGTGCTATGCTATGGTGTGCGAATGCTGCGCTGCGCTATGCTGCGCTGCGCTAAGCTATGGTAAGCTAAGCTATGCTAAGCTAAGCTAAGCTAAGCTAGGCTAAGCTAAGCTAAGCTAAGCTAAGCTAAACTAGGCTAGGCTAAGCTAAGTTAAGCTAAGCCAAGCTAAACTAAGCTAAGTTAAGATGTTATAAGCTAAGATAAGCTAAGCTAAGCTAAGCTAAGCTAAGCTAAGCAAAGCTAAGTTAGGCTAGACAAAGCTAAATTAAGCTAAGCTAAGCTAAAATGAAATAAGCTAAGCTAAGATGAGATAAGCAACGCTCAGCTAAGGGAACGCCACTGGGGGAACCGCGGGGCGGATCCTGGGGGAACCGCCCGGGGCGCATTACACTGCCCGGCCCTTTAAGTTTACCGAGCAAGAACCCGTCTAGGCAGAGTCTAGGTAGGGAAAACCACTTCGACTGTCTTGAAGCTGTCCTCTCCACTGCTCGTGCAAACATCCCACCCTCCCACCCGCAACTTGGTCGCAAGACATCTTCAGACAAGACCGTGACGGTAGGTACTGCGTGGCACTTGGCCACGACACCGATGCCGACGACGACAGCGACATCGACGACGACGGCGCCGCCGACAGCGACTGCGACGACACCGACGACGTCTCCAATGTTTTCGACGACGACAACGACGACGACGACACCGACGACGACGACAACGACGCCGACGACGACGACGAAGACGACGACGACGTCGCCAACGGAGACGACGACGAGGGAGGAGAAAAAACGACGACGGCGACAACGACGACAACGACGATGGAGGAGGGAAGACGGCGACGACGCCAACGACGAAGGAGGAAGGACGGCGACGCCGACGACGACAACGACGAGGGAGGAGGGAAGACGACGACGATGACAACGACGACGAAGACGACGACGACGGCGACGAAATAGGAGGGACGACGACGAGACGCCGACGACGGACGACGACGACGAGGGAGGAGGATAACGACGAGGGAGGAGTGAAGACCACGACGACGACGACGACGACGACGGCGACGAAATAGGAGGGACAACGACGAGACGCCGACGAAGACAACGAGGGAGGAAAGACGACCACGGCGACAACGACGACGGAAACGACGACGACGCCAAAGACGACGAGGAAAGACAGAAGACGACGACGGCGACGACGACGACGACGACGAGGGAGGAGGGATGACGACGACGACGACGACGACGCAAGAGCGCGCGCGCACAATTTTGTTGAAAACCCGTCTTGCGAAACCTTGTGTTTTTTTGTAGGTTTTTTGGAGGCACGATTTCGAAATTCTTCCGAAACCGAAGGTTTTTGAAGGATTTCGGCATACGCCCGCGACGACGCGCGCGTCTGCACTTCGTCCCATTTTTTGCAAAGGATTCTCGCGACGGCACACGCGCAAGAGCGTTCGACAGATTTCGACATGCGCGCGCGCGAAGCCCGTTTGGTAGCATTTTGTGAAAATCTTGGAAAACCTATGGTTTTCGTAGGATTTCGCAAGAGCTCGCGCGTAAGTTGTTTTGAATCAGTGTTGCGAAACCATGTGTTTTTATATGTTTTTGGGAAATTTAATTTTGAATTCTCTCCGGAACCGAAAGTTTTTTTAAGGATTTCGGCATGCGCGCGCCACGACGCGCGCGTGCGCACTTCGTCCCATTTTTTGCAAGGGATTCGTGGAAAAGTGATATATTAGAACAAAACATGTCACCGCATAGTGTTTTTTACCAGGGAACCGCAGGGGGGGGGGAACCCGGCTTGGCTGGGATGGTACGAGTTCATATTTAGAATGGACATGTGGTCAGAATCATATGTAATTTACAGCACGCGCGGGGGACCCGATAAGTCCAGGGCGGGGGGGGTAGAATCGATTAGTCTTTTAGAAGAAAGGAGAATATGCGCCGAATACGCAGCCTGCCAAGACACGAGGGCGCCGGGCAGCAAGCCGAGGGCGCCCTGACCAACACAAGTCGCGATCCACAACTTCGCTGCGTTCACGCCATAAGGCCAGCGGGCCCCCCGCCCGGCAACAATCCCAGCCAAATCCCAGCCGCCGCCGGGCAATATCCCAACCAAATCCCCGCCGCGGCCCCGCCGCGGCCCCGCCGCCGCCCAGCCGCGGCCCGGCCGCCGCCCGGCCGCCGCCCCAAAAAAACCTGCCACCCCTCTAAAAAAACCACCGCCAGCAAAATCCCACCCGAATCCCCGCCGCGGCCCCGCCGCCGCCCAGCCGCCGCCAAACCGCGCCCCAGCCACGAGCCCTCTCCCCGGGGGCCCCAACACGGCTTCATGGGACCTCGCAGGAAGAAGGGGCGCGATGGGAAACAGGAAGAACGCGACGGGGG